GTAGAAAAGTTGCCTTCTCAGGCAACTTCGGAGTTTTCTTCTGTGTCCCGTCTCCGAGAGAGGTACTGCCATTGGGAACGGTGTTTTCCATCCTGGCCTGGGGATCCTTATTTTCTTGAATTTCAGTAACAGATACTGACACAAGCTCTGAGCTGCGCTCGTACAGTGCTGCTTGGATGATGACCCAAGTGAGGCAGGCCTGCTCTTGCGCTCTGGAGAGCTCTTACCTTGCTCTGTGGAGCGTGTTTATCGGGCAATGTTAATGAATTTCAGTGTGAACAACGAATCCTTTAGACGGGGGAGAGGGGCTGTTTTTACTATTGAAACATTTTCCCTGTGCTAAATGTTTCCATGTATTACAGATTTGGACAATAACAGAAGGAAGTGTCTTCAAATAGAGATAAGAAAAGTGGGATTTTTTTATTTGCTGATACCATGAAAGATTAGTTTAAAGCCACTATCAAAATCACTGTAAACAGTGAAATGCAATTACATTTTTTTCTGGATAAACTTAGGTATAACCATGATACACATTTGTGGGACCAACTGTTGTGTACTTAGTCAAAAGGCATATCATCCTTTTGTATCTCATGGGTAAAGTTTGCCCTTTCCTAAAAAGGTATGTAAGTCAATCACACAGACTTTTAATCTTTTAATGAGCTGTTTGATACAGTTTCTATTGTCCTTAACACAATGCTAGGGACAGAGCTTTAACGTTTCATTTTGAAAGGGATCTCAAAGAAGAACGTCTGGCATTGAAAGAAGATCAAAAAATATGTCGGAGTAAGGCACAGAAATATTTGATCGAGACAAACAGAAGAAGAAGGTAAGTAACCAGGTTTCCTTTGGTGGGAGATTGAAAAAAAAAAAAAAAAAGTCAAAAAAAGTTTCTTCAAAACTTTGAAGCAGCTCAATATATTTCTACTCTTTGCACATTCACATTGATAGCCTCACTGCTTTGTTCTAGAGGAATCTAGGCTGAAATCAGTCCAGTTTCTTGCTATAGGACAAATAAAATATAAAAAGAGCAATATTCTGGGTTACTTGGTACTTTTTGGAAACTCACTGTAGTCACCTCTTACTGTATAAGTAAAGGTAAGTAGTACCTGCATTTCATGGGTCTGCTTTTCTAGTATTATTCTGGTTTTTATTAGCTTCAGTGGAAAGCTGCGTGAAAAGTGCATTCAGGTGTACACTACGGGTCGGCAGGCAGGCAGTTGTCATTGCATTCTGAAGTGTATGCTTTTCTTCTGCATGGCATGACAGCTGCCCAGCCTCCCCTACGTGGGGGGCTTTGTGCTCCCACTTCCCAATAAACACAACACAAAGTCTTGCTAGGACTGATTATATTTATAATAGTTATTCTGCATTGACATTTTAAACAGAGCTTTGAATATTCTGCCTTTCTACATACATGAGAATGCAAAGTCATTAAATATTCTATGACAAATGGATACACTGGGATGTCTCAGTGAAGTGCTGTAAGTAGTTTAATAGGCATAGGGGGCTTTTCCTGAGCGTTGAGATCGTACTTGCACATACAGGAGACTCAGCTGGGTATACTGTAGAGGCAGATGGGTTCCTCCCTGCAAGCTCCCAGAGGACCAGGTTCCTCTGCCTGCTGCTAACTCATTAACATTCATCCCCCGTAGTTCCTGTATCAGATGATTTCTGTTGTACAGTGTTTACTTATTGAAATATGTTGATACCTCATAAGAAAGGCAGTAGGTAGTGTTTATACTGCCAGTGTAGCTTGGTGGTATGTGCTGTCAGCATATGTTTTGAAGTATAAAGAAAATGGAAGAGGAAGTATAATCACCTGGGAGTGATTAAAGACAGTGTGCGACCCACAACCTTTGCAGGTAATAAGCTGAGTCTCAGCTGAAAGATTGAATATCTTACTTAGTTTTCTGGAACAGTACCACTGTAACACTACACATCTCAGATGAGCACTGTTTATTGTATTACTGGTCTTGAAATATTATACTCTAAAAAAAGCAAATACCAGACAGCCTGCATATTTTTGATACACTAGTATAGTTAAACTAATACACATTGATACATAAATACATTTCCATATGAATTTCATTGGAGCCTTAAGAAACAGAGTATAAATCCAAGTACTCAGGTGAGCCAGTTAAAAATTTAGGTGTGGTATTCATAAAATGAAATTGTTTCCATTTGTGGTAATTGAGAATGGCATAACTATCAGCATAATAAGCAGTTCAAGTGGAAGTATGTGGTGACAAGTCTTCCCCTAATAACTGAAAAGGAGTTAGTTGTCTAATGTTAGAAAGGTAGTAACTGCATACAGTATTAACAAGCTGTGAAATATAATTCAAAATTAGGAGTCACTGAATATATGGAGGAAATAATTTTGGAAATAAAAATTTCCTTGAAATTAAATATTTTTTTCCTGACAGTCATGCAGGTAGGAAGTGATTTATCTTCTAATGGATCAACCATCAGGTCATGTCTCAAATCTGTGCATGAGCCAAGATCCATTAGATTGGTAACACATGTAAAGGTGTTAGCTATGATGCTGGTTTCTCAAGGGTAGCATAACTTCCTTAAGCTCCACATTCTCACCTGGCAGCACCCTAATTCTGCCTGACAGGGCTTATGGACATGTATCAGAAGTTATTCTTGGTACTGCTGTTTTATAATTTCAAAACTGGAATTGTTTCACATTTTTTTCTTTCAATATATATAGAGTAGACCTGAGTGCACTGTGAAGTACAACAGTGTTTTCTACTTCTAACCTTCACAGAGTGGTTGAGATTGGAAGAGACCCCTTGAGGTCATCTGTACAACTCCCTTGCCACAGAATGGCCACATAGAGCTCATTGCCCAAGACCACATCCAGGTGCCTTTTGAGTGTCTCCAAGGAGAGACTCCACAACCTCTATGGGCAACCTGTGCCAGTGCTCAGTCACTCTCACAGTAAAAAAAAAAAAAAAAAAAATGTTTCCTGATGTTCAGAGGGAAGCTCCTGTGTTTCAGTCTGTGCCCACTGCTCTGGTCCTGTCACTGGACACCACTGAGAAGAGCCTGGCTCTGTCCCCTTTGTACCCTCCCTTCAGGTATTTATAGACATTGATAAGATCCGCTGGAGCCTTCTCTTCTCCAGGCTGAACAGTCTCAGATCTCTCAGCCTTTTCTCATAGCAGAGATGCTCCAGTGCCTTCATCATCTTTGTGGTCCTTTGTCAGACTCTCTCCAGTTTGTCCATGTCTCTCTTGTACTGGGGAGTCCGGAAAAGGACACAGCATTCCAAGTGTGGCATCACCAGTGCCAAGTAGAGGGGAAGGTTCACCTCCCTTGCTCTGCTGGCAATGCTTTGCAGCCCAGGATACCATTTACTTTTTTTGCAGCAAGGGCCCATTGCTGGCTCATGTTCAACTTGGTGTCCAGCAGGACCCTCAGGTCCTTTTCTGCAAGGCTGCTTTCCAGTGGGGTGGCCCCCAGCATATGTTGGTGCATGGGGTTGTTCTTCCCCAGGTACAGGACTTTGTACTTCTTGTTGAACTTCATGAGGTTCCTGCCAGCCCATTTCTCCAGCCTGTTGAGGTGCCTCAGGATGGCAGCACAAGCCTCTGGTGTATCAGCCATTCCTCCTGGTTTTGTGTCATCTGCAAACTTACTGAGGGTACACTCTGCCCTCAATTCATGATCATTAATGAAGATGTTAAATAGGACTGGGCCCAGTATTGACCCCTGGGGTACACTGCTAGTTACAGGCCTCCAACCTTCATGTCATTAATCACCACCCTCTGGGCCTGGCCATTCAACCAGCTTTCAATCCACCTCCCTGTCTGCTCATCCAGCCTGTACATCAACAACTTGTCTATGAGGATCTTCTGGGAAACAGTATCAATGGCCTTAGTGAAGTCCACATAGACAATAACCACTGCTCTCCCCTCATCTATCAAGCCAGTCATTTCTTCGAAGAAGTTTATCAAGTTGGTCAAACATGACTAAATTTAATGTCAACCTTAAATTTATAAAGCCTCTGCTGAAAAGTAATAGCAGTGAATTTCCTTTAGCAAATAGATCTAGGGAAGATACAGCAGAGCTTCTGCTCTATTCTCAATCTTATGTCATTTAGGTTCATTCTCTTTGTGTTGCATTGTGGAAGAAAAGTTTTCTGTGCGAGGTTTTTTTGTGTTTTTTTGAAGAACCATGACTAGCCTACCTTTAAACAAGGTTGTACCAAGGCTGAGTCCAAGTCTGACAGCCCCTGGTGCCCAGATAATGAGAACTGCATATGCAGAGGGCTTGCAAAGTGAAGTCTTCTGTTTTCAGCCTTTTCTAAATGTATTTGTAATGAAATATTCCCTGACGTTGTATTGATCTGTTGTCAATACATCTAAAATGCAGCAGCTTCAGCATTAAAATACTCAACTTCTGACAAGATGTGCTCAGTTAGTTGGTTTATCAGTAAAAGACAAAAACATCAGTTGCTGTCCTGGTTTTCAGCTGGGGCAGAGCTAATTTTCTTCTTTAACAGAAAAGAGCAAGTGTAGCTTTGCAAAGCAAAGTCTCAGTAACTTAAGTCTCAGATCTTTTTCAAAGTGAATACTTAGATGAGCCCATATTCCTATCCTGTCTGATGCCATTAGTTTCTTCCTATCTCTTGTACTGACCAAGCTCCTTAGTTCTGTGATAAGAGCAGTACTTCAACATAGGGAACGAGCAGCCAACTGATTATTTTTACACAAGTTGCCCTAGTATCAAGAAAGTAATTTGTTTATTGTCTCACTAATACATGAAGTTGCAATTTCAAGATCAGCTTAAGAATTAAATATGTTCTGGGGCAGTAGCTGACAGATATTTTGTTTAAATAACAATATTCTGGAAATAAAAGCTACAGGCTAAACACATGCTTGATGTAAATGAACAGGATATCATATTTTGTGTTTATGTACCACAGTACATTTTAAACACCAGGTCCCAATTTGCTGGGCACTGCAGCCGTCCCACTGTTATTGCTCAATGCAAAATGTGTATCCCATTTTACTGTGACATTACTGGCTGCAGGTAGTTGATTCATTCCGGAGATGCAACTGTCTGTGCATCTTTAAACAAACCTCACAGTCAGCTGTCTTGGTTCAGCATTTTGAAGTACCTTGAAATCTGAGTGGCTCATCCATCTGTTGTAACTGGGGAAGGGAGTGCTTTCCCAGATCCTATCAGTTTCCAATCTATTCCAATTACTGCTGTTTTTTAAAAAAAATATTTTATTTTTGACATATGCACAAGCTTTGTGCTCCACCTACTGGCTGATTATCATTCATTATTTAATAAAAGCTCTTTAAATTATTCAGCAGTGTTGTCGCTGCAGAGCAAAAAGCAGTCTGCTGCCAGAAATGGGAGAAAGATGTTAGCACTTGGTAAACAGAGAAGGCAAAGTGTTAAGAGTTTAGTCTTGCTTCCTACATCAGAATGAAACTGTGACAAGTAGCGGTCACTGTAACCATGCAGATCTGAAATGCAGTATTGCCATTTCTGCTAATGGGCTGTGCTGAATTTGCAAGGTCTCAGGACGGCTGCTTGCCAAACTTGCTCTCTCTGAACTTTTCTTGACCTGCCCGCAGCTTTGATTTGCTTGGTTTAGCTGTAAAAACAATTTCTCTAATTGACCAGGTGTCTGTGGCTAATTTATTTCACCTCTGTTTATCTTTTAATGATATGACCATAGTTTTATATAGATAGCAGTAACAAGCCATTGTTCAGTGTAGAGAACGAGATATTTATGACTCTAACATGATGATGTAGCGTAGGGAATACAGGCCTCGTATGATCACAGGGACCTTGAGATTTGGAGATGCGGGATGCAGCATTGAAGAGTACAGGCAGGGGATGATAAGAGATGGTGCACAGGCTTGGCGCTGGACACCCCACGGCCATAAACAACTCACTGAGAGTTGGTTAAAGAAATGCAGACCTAGATCTGGCAAAACTGGCTTCAAGGATAACAAAGAGAACAAAATAATAGTATGTAATGTATGTAAAAGGCACCATGTATGGAATATTTGGAGGTACTGTGGAGCTGCAGGTGAATGAAGAAAGAGAAAATGTGTAGAAGTGTGTTAGCAAATATAAAAATTACACCAAGTGGATCCTGAGGTGAGGAAGAAGGAAGCATTAACATGAACATACTGCTCCTGGTGAAGGGACTCCAGATACTGACAACTGACTGTAACACCCCAGCACCACCAGAATGGAATGACCAGCCTTGGGATGCAGAAGAGCCATGGAAGCGTGAGCGTAACATCAGGAAAAGGGTAGAAACTCAGTGTGTGAATAACGATTCAGGCTGTATTATCACTATGATTGCAGCTTTCTCCGTATAGAATATATTGGATTTATATACAATGTGCTTACTTTTTGACCATAAATAAGATTTGGAGTGTAACAATGGTGGATAGTGCGGGCAGCCCTCCTGTGGACCTTTTGGGACATTTTGGAGGACAGCTCTCTGTAAGCCCTTGTGGTGTTGTAACGATTGGTCCTTCTGAAGCCCTTACAGAAATTGGGGCTGTCCTTTTGTCTTTGTCATATGATAATCAGAGAAGATGAGGGCATAGGGTTAATATGTGTTCCTATGGTCCTGGTAAGTATCTCACTTAAAGGAAAAAAAATTATTGATGGGCAACCTCTGCAGATCTTTTTAAGGATATACGGTATGTTTCCTGTTTGCCTATGAAGGGGATTTTGAGTGTGACACCCCATTCTAGCATTTACTTATCTTGCTGTAGCCCTTAAGTATACAAATGCCTTCCTACCTCAATTTTAAAATTACTGTGTACTGTTTGGAAATGTGATATCACAATGGATGAATAATATCAACTCAGTATCAAAAGGTTCATTTCATAAGCACTGTATATATTCCTCTTTATTTTCATCCAAGGTAGTAGTAAGCATTTAGTCCACCTGGGAATGTAGCATCCAGCACTTCACTGTGAAGATAATTTAATAAAATTAACCAGGAAATAGTTCCACCATCTGGTCATACTGTTTTTAACATAAAAATACCTTCCACATAATGTCTGTATATGTGAAACTGCTAAATATTTTAAGTTTCATATTCCAAATTCACTATAAACATTTTGGCAGCTCTTGCTAAAAATTGCCGCACCGCTGAATTGTTTATAGTAGACAGAAAAACTGGGTTAAAAAAACACCGGTCAGGAAATTCTTCTGCTAACTCTCCATCTTAAAGCCATATGCTTTTGCCAATGTTACATCTGTGATATGAACCTAAACTGGTGGCTTAAGGAGAGTGGATGAGTAAACATTTATTTTAACTGTTTTTCTCAATATGCATTTGTAAAATTATTTATTTTACATAGTGTACCTGGGTGTCACAATTTACATTCTGTGAGGTCAAGAAGTTAATGATGCAGGCTTCACTGAATATCTTTAACACATATCCTTAATTTAAAATAAGATCCATTTTCTCCCTCATGTCTTAATCCAAACCGAATAGTGATCATCATGAGCCGTGGTGAAAAAGACGTCTTGCATCAGCATTTGGACTTCCCCATTTCCAGCTATATGGAGCAAGAGTGGGTTTTTTATGCCAGTTATTAGGAATGTGGAAGAGTGCAACTAAGTCACACTCCAAAATCATTTAAAAAAAAATAAAGGCTCTGTCTGAATGTACTCTTTCCTTTTTGGAGTTATACTCTGGAATTACTCCAGGTGCAAAGTTGTAGAATTTCGCACATGTCTGAATTTAACAACTAGAGTTCAACTAAAGGTCTTCTTGAGCAGCTTCTAGAAATATTAAGGGGATCAAGAAGAATGTGTTTAAAGTATTTACTAGGATAAGTGAGTCTGTTTCCTCTCTTGTGATTTTCCTATTTCTTTGGTCAGGATAAAGATGTAAAATATTGTGGATTTCTGAATCAGATTTTAACGTGAGTGAAATACAGGAATATTGGAAGTTGACGGTGAACTCTAGTTCTACTTTTTTAGTTCTGATTTCTGGATTGTACGAACAAAGTTCCTGTGACATTTTAACCAAACTTCAGTAAGACATTTTATGTGCATAGAGTTCTCTGCAGATTTTTTTCTGGTTTTGGATAACTGCTTGTCTG